ATTCCTAAAGCATAATATCCATGTTCATTGCAAGCTGTCCATGCCACATCAACTGTTGGAGCAATCTGGGTGTATTGAGCAATCTTGTTTTCAACGGCTATTATATTGACCCTTGACTGGGTGTGCTGAGAGGTGTTGTTAATTTGCTGATGAGGTAGGTATTAATATTATAGGATACACATAATCTACCTAAACAAAAGGTCAAAATGAAGATCACGTGTGTAAATGAAAAAAATGCATGAGCAGAAAATTGATTTTAAAACTCACAAATCGTGTTCTCCTTTATTAGTATGCAGTGAAGAAAACCAATAGGAAGACAAAAATTAATATACCAACACATGCATAAAACTCATAAATCGTATTCTCCTTTATTAGGTACACATATAACATATAGCATACCTACAATAAAGGTGAAAAACTTAGCACATAGAATACATACAACGTACCGTTATTCCTGTTGGAAAATTGGCTCGCATAAAGGATACTAAATCTTGGACCAGCGACCGGTCGCATGACATTTGCGACTGGTCGTTTTCAGGCAGAGTCGAAGTCTGGAGCTAAGTCGACTAGCGACCGGTCGCCAGCTATTTGCGACCGGTCGTTTTCAGGCAGAGTCGAGGCCTGGAGCGAAATCTTCTTGCGACCGGTCGCCCGACACATGCTGTTTCGAGTTTGCACTGTTTCTCAACAGTTTCTTTAGTGTGCTATCGTTTTCTATCCACTTGCAAGGATATTTTAAGTCACTTCTGACTTAAATGAAAGGTGGCAAGTTGCTGGGAAGCAAGGAGAGCAAATTAAGGAAAGATGTTGGCTTGTTTCAAGGTGTTCCTACCTTTATTGGGTAGCTGAACTTGTAGCTGTCATTATCAAGCCCTTTGCCTGCCCAAGGTGTGATCTACTTCAGTAAAACAAGGGCAGAACGTGGGATGATGTTATGAGGCTTTTCTCAAGTGCAAGAGGTTGTGTATTTGAGATAGATAGGAAGCAAGATAGCAATGTGAGAGGCAAAGTAGCTGGACACTAGTGAGTCAAGTAGAAGAGAGAGTTCTTAAGTGTATTAAGGTGTTGAGCAAGGGTGTGAGAGAAACAGATTGTGAGGGTAGTGTTCTAAGGGGGTTTTTTCGGTTGTAAACTAAAGTTGTAACCTATCTTCATTAGTGAAATTTCTCAAGGGGATCACCAAGAGGATGTAGGCAAAATTTGCTGAACCTCTATAAACACTTGTGCCATTTGTGCTTGGTTATTTTCTGTGTGTGTGTGTAAGACTCATCCATCATTGAGTCTTGTCCAAAGTCCATCAACAACAAGGTCTAAAGGGGAGTGAATTAGTCTTAATTCACAACACTTTTTGCAAACAAAGCATTTGAAAATTTCAGTTTTGTTGACTTTAACGTTTTGAGACCCTTTAGGTGGTGGTTGGGCAGTTTTGGCAGAAGCATTTGAAGACTTAAAAGCATGAAATGGCTCCCAGTACCTGATGCACCATTTTTCTTACCATAAGTCGAATGCACAAGGTTGACAACTTCCATTTGATCACGTTTCAGTCTATCCTCCTCTTGTACACACATGGAGATCAACTCATTAAGATCCCAATTCTCCTTTTGCGTGTTGTAAGAAACTTTCAGTTGTCCAAACTTTGGTGGTAGTGAATTAAGAGCTACATGCATGAGGAAAGGGTCATAGATGGTTACTTCCAGATCCTTGAGCTTATTGGCAATGTCAATGAGTTTCATAATGTACTCCCTGGCACTACTTTCACCATCATATCTCATAATGGTGAGGGCATTCATCAAACTTCTCATCTCAGCCTTCTTTGACTCCTTGAATTTCTCACCAATAACCTCTAGGAAAGCTTTTTCCTTATCATTGCTCGGAATACCACCTCTCACTGTTTCTGTCATAGCCCTCTTCATAATGAGAAGAGACATCCTGTTAGCCTTATGCTGTTTTTCATGTTGCCTTCTATGTGCATCACTGCTTTCATTTGTAAGAGCTGCAGGTTCATCCTCCCGTAGAGCTAAATCCAAGTCCATGAACCCAAGAACAATCTCCACATCTTGCTTCCATTTCTTGTAGTTACTTCCAGTCCATGTCTCAATTGAAGAGAAATTGAAGAGGGATTCACAACTGATGAAGCAGCCAGAACATATTATGTTAATTTACACTATCAAGAACAAAAAGATGAACTTTAGTTTTGTTCTTTAAATCCCTGAGAAACTTTATGCATTATTATATTTTTCCTTTGGGCAAAAACATAGTATGCAATGAAAAAATTTCTTTATTGTACCACCAATACATAGAATACAATGTCAATAAATAATCCCTACACCTTTAGGTAGAAGAAACCATTCACAACCAAGCACTCTAAAATTGTAATACACTAATCTCAAGTTGAACCAGATAAAGAGAAAAATCTCCTTTGAGAGATTTAATTTACCCGTTATAACTTAGAAGATTACAAATTATTGTCTATATATTTCAAATGAACTTTAAATTAAGATAGATTATTTGAACTATCTACTTTGGTGAACATCAAATATCTCCTTAAAACTAGGCCAATTTCTTAATTACCATACTAACAGTATGTACAGTAAAACCAAACTTTATGTTTACATCTAATGAAAACAAACATAAACATAAATTTATTGTATAAGAATCACACACAAAAGGTGTATACATCTGATTGATTATGTACATGTAATTTTTACCTTGTTTGCTTCTTCCTTAACCTTTGATGTTAGCGCATCAAGAAGTAAAGTAGGAGTGGAATAGATCTCACCATCATAAGCAATCAAAAAACAACATAAACATTTGAAAATTTTGATTTGGGTGAATTCAATTTGCCTATAAAATTCCATATGCCCAGATTGAATGGAGATGAGAAGAAAAAAGCAAAACCCCAAATGAATTCAATTTGCCTATAAAACCCGCCCAGATTGAATGGGGATGAGAAGAAAAAAGAAACAAAACCCCTTTTTTATTATTATTTATTATTATTTATTATTATTTTATTATTATTATTATTAACAAAACAACAAAAGGCAAATACGTGTACTTTTGGACTTTTATTAAAATCCTTTAACCAAAATAATAATAATAATTCAAAACAAACATACGATTGCATATTTCCTTATTCAACAATTTAGTGAGCGAAGTCTAAGCATATAGCAGGAGCTCTGATACCACATGTAAGCACATAGATGAATACATTTAATCCAGATATATAGCATACATGCAAAGAACTACACTCATCGTATGAATTGAACCATATAAGAACTAAGAGTACAAGAATTGAGTCTTACCTAATGAAGCCATTGATCACAGCAGACAAGGAAGGCTTCTACTCTCTGCAGCACCGAATGCTCTAACTAGTAAATAGGACTAGGTATTTTAGAACATGTATTTCTATGAGTGCAGGGACCTCCTTATATAAGAATACAATACAAATCAGATCCCCCCTATCAAGGAATGTGATTGCTCCTTTTAGTATCTTATTTAATTAATACCAATAGACACACCTTATTAGGGCTTGATTGCCCTCCTTATTAGGATACTCTATTAGTCAACTAATCAGGGCTCCCTTTTAGACTTAATAATAGTAAAATTGTGCCTTGTACATAATCAATCAAAGCCCAAATTATCGTACATTGTAATCATATATTAGAATAAAATATTCAAAACTCGAACAAATCTTATGTTTGAGTTAACCAACTAAGACACGATTAATAATTGGGTGAATTTTGGGTCAACTCACCAATGTACTTAAAGAGTTTGATAAACAGGTCGTGTCAACCTGTTCAAAGTCCGTCAAATTGGACTTAAACCGTGCTTCAATTGAGTGCTCAATCACTCTAACTTTGGTGAATTCAAAGTGATATACTACCGAAGACAAGTCAATTCAATCCAAGTAGTAGCACGATACGTTGAACATGAAAGTAAAGTAAGCAGTGGCAGATCTAGAACTTTTACCCTGAGAGGTCAAAATTGTAAAAGCAGTCAGTTGAAGGTTAATTTGTTAACAAAGTCTCATTAGCAATCTGGAATTTCATGGAACATCGCTTTTGGTTTTACATGTTGGTATATCTGGAAATGGTGCAATAAGAGTGTTTGGTGAAGAAGAGGATTTGGCTTTTGATATCAGAAATATTATTTTTATTGCTACTCAAGAATGGGTGAAGGCCAGTTCTACTGTTCATAAGCCAATTAACACAACTCAAAATTTTCTTGTTTGGGATCCTCCTCATACTGGTCAGTTCAAGCTTAATGTTGATAGGTCGTGCAAATGTGCATCTGGAGTCATTGGTGCTAGGGGAGTAATACGCGATGAAAAAGGGAATTGGATTGGTGGTTTTATGGCCAATCTGGGGAGCGGTGACATCATAGCAGCTGAAATATGGTGGTTGTTCTTTGGTTTGAAACTTGCTATCCAAAGGGGCGTCTCGAATTTGCATATTGAAATGGACTCTGCAACTGCAGTCCTACTTCTGCCAAAATCTTCTCTCTTTGTTCTACATCTGATGGCATCTTTGTTGTCTAGTTGCTACACTCTTATGTGACAAGTGGGTAATTGTGTGATTAACCACATCTATAGGGAAAAACAGGGTGGCTGACTGTTTAGCGAAGGGGAGCTATAATTTTTATTTGGGGTTTGTTGTGCTTGATGAGATTCCTAGCTGGGTTGAGGCTATCTTTGATGATGATTTGTTAAGAGTTCCTAGAACTTGTACTGTCTCTGCCATTTAGTTTTTTTGTGTTTAGGGGTTAATCTCCCCCATTTCACCAAAAAAGAAGACCATATTGCTTTAAATTAGAACATAGTTTTCAGTATGTTTCTTTATTTTGTTTTTCTAGTGCTATCTGTTTTGCATCGGGTTAGAAGACCATATTGCTTTAAATTAGAACATAGTTTTCAGTATGTTTCTTTATTTTGTTTTTCTAGTGCTATCTGTTTTGCATCGGGTTAGAAGACCATATTGCTTTAAATTAGAACATAGTTTTCAGTATGTTTCTTTATTTTGTTTTTCTAGTGCTATCTGTTTTGCATCGGGTGTTGGTGGCTTTGGATGTAGCTTCTAGCCTCTGCTTTTGCTTTCTTATTTGTATTGTTGGTTTCTCAGTTGTTGTGTTGCAATGAAAGTTCATCTTTTCGAACAAAAAAATAATTGCACTTGAGATTGAATGCTTGTAGTTTGAGATTGGATTAATGTTGTTACAACCTCTAATTGAATTGGGGTGCCACCCTCTTAGTTCGTCTTTGCTAGATGATTTGTTAGGCCTTGCTAGGCCTCGTTTCCACACATTTTGTCCCAATATTTAGTATCGTATTCTTAAATAATGAAAAAAAGTGCCTATTCAATTCTGATACAGTGACATACAAACAACAATTGCATAGAACTAAATTTCATACAATTTCAACTATAGATACCAGTGATTCAAAGAATTTCAAGAATGCAAGTCAAGACAATATCAAAAATATTATTTTAAAACTCTCCCTAAATATGGATCTTTTGTTCCAAATTTCAAATTCATCTATAAAAAATGTCTATTTAATTTTAATTCATCTTACAAGAAAAATCAATAAAAAGGAAATCACCCATATTATTTTCACACAAGAACAATTCCAAAGGTTTCTATTTGAAAAGACAAAACCCAAGAATAGTACAGATATTATTTTCTCCACTAGCCGAGAAATTCTTGAACCTCTTGAATGCAACTTTAGAGCCATCATCCAAAATGCCCTTAGACACACTCCCATAGCTTGCTCGTCCAATTATGTTGTTGTCCCTAGAGAAATTCTTAGTTGCGGCACTGACAGGCCTAGCCCATAGCCTGTGCAGGCTGGGCAACTGCACAAGTCCCCCAAATTTTTTAAGGCCCACTTATAAAAAGAAACCAAGAAAGGCTTTTACTACTTCATACTTCACTTTTGGAAATTTTTAAAAAAAGGCCATTTGAGAAGAGAAACAATGAAATGGACCTCTCTTTTTTTTCAATTTCCTAACCCAATATGATATATGAATTTTTTTTTACCTAATTTGTTTTAAGTTGTTTTCTGGTCAGTCTTGTGTTTGACGTGTTTTCTTCTCCAGTCTTCCCCAATCATCTTCTTTAGCCTTCTTTCTCTGACTCACTCTTGAATCTTTCTTTGCGACATTTTTTTTTCTTCAAATCAACCAAAGCTAAATTAGATATTCTATGCAAGATTTGGAATTTCAAGAGATCTATCAATTGAGAAGGGACCTAGAGATAAATTTTCTAGGCATTTTTCTTTAACATTTTACACTCGTTTATTTATCAAATGGAGATATGTATAATAGGGAATGGTTGGTTTATTCAAAGCATTCAAATAAGGTGTTTTGCTTTTGTTGCAAGTTCTTTAATAAAAGTCGAAGAATCAATCCATTAGCTAATTAAGGATATAGTGATTGGGGACACCTTAGTGTGAGACTTAAAGAACATGAAGCGAGTGGTGAGCACATGACTAACATGAGCACATGGATTGATTTGCAAATGAGATTGCAACAAAAGTTACAATTGATAAGCATGTTCAAAAGCTTATTAATAAAGAGAAAAAATATTGGAAAGGTGTGTTAATAAGAATAATTGATGCTGTAAAATATCTTGTCAAATATAACTTGGCATTTCGTGGAACGAATGAGAGGATTCATGAAGATAGCAATGGAAATTTTATGGGCTTAATTGAAATGATTACGGAATGGGATCCAATCATGAAAGAACACTTGAGACGAATTGATGATAAAGAATTTTATCATCACTATCTTAGTCCAAAGATTCAAAATGAGTTTATCATTAGGTTATCATATGAAATCAAAACTGCAGTCATTTCAAAAATAAAAATAAAAGCAAAGTGTTTTTCTGTTATACATGATTGTACACCCGATGTAAGTGATCAAGAACCAATGACCTTGATAATGAGATGTATGGATGTTTCCACACACGTTGTAAAAGTAGAAGAGTTCCTTTTGGAATTCTTAGAAGTTGATGATTGTTGAGGCCCAAAAAATCCAAGGCTGGGCCCAAATATATTTATAGCCCAATACAACACCTAACTTGGGAGGAAACCCAACTTGGGTGCGCAAGAGTTCGTCATATACGCTTGCACACGTGCCATGCCAAGGAAATAAGCAACATGCCACGCTAGAAGCTTAAGTGGGCCCAAGCCACGCGAATGTCTGGGGCTTGCTGGGCGGGTTGTGATATTGATAGTTACGAGTTTTCGTGAGGCCCATTGATGAGCCGAGAAATGGAAGTTTTGGGCTGCTTGGGAGCCCCGAAACTCAAGCCCATTTCTTGAGCCCAAATATGTGGGTAAGCATAAAAGAGAGAAAATAACCCAATACTTTAGGAAAAATAGCCCAATACTCTAGGAAATTAGCTCATTCCCTTAGTGAACTAGCCCATTACCTTAAAGAATGGCCCAAATGACCTATAAAATATCTGAAAGTCTCCAGCACATGGCTGGAGACAAAACAACGACAAAGCCAAAAGTTACCTATGTATGCAGGCTGTTGGGAATCTCCAGCACATGGCCAAAGACAATTCCCAACACAAGCCATCCAAAAAACCAAAGGATACTTGAGCAAAACACCCTTCAAACCAACGTACATGCCCATTTCTTCCCCCCACTAGATCTAGCCATGGAAGAGGGAAGAAAGAAGGAAAGGAGATGGCCGAAAATGGGAGTTCCCCACTGAAACAGTTGTGGGAAAAGCCTAGAGCTCCCAAAACCCTGTTTTTGTGTGATTGGGCAGAGAGAATTTCACCAAATAGGATGAGTCAAAGGAAGAGAAGAGAAAGGAAAGGAAAGACTTGACCAAATTGGATGGAAACCATTAAGGTTTCTTGGAAAGGAGGAGCTTCCAGCGACTATAAATAAGGCACCTCCTACCCAACAACCAACAACCCAGAACAAGAGAGCAAGCATCATCTCTCATCCTTGAAACCACATCCAGAGAGAGCAAGCTTCCCTCTAATCTTCAAAACCTAGCAATTTTGTGCACTATTCATCCTTCTTCCCCATTTTCCCTCTTGGCAAAACTGTTCCAATTCTTGATAGAACCTTTGTCGAGCTGCCGGAAAATCACTTAAGCCACTCATCGCCCTCTCCTTGTCTCCTTCTCCCTCTTTTCAGCCAAACCCTTGTCAAATCCTCTCTTCCCTTGCCTTTCCTTAGAACCCCTATTTCTCATAGGAATTCACAGCCCTCTCTCTCTTTAATGCTAAACTCATGA